CCGAAGTTTGCCGATTCGATTCGTCGTATTTCGGAATCCTGGTGACAATTTTATACTCCATTGGAGTATTTTTGACCTACTTCTTATGACGGAAATTCCCGAACCTTGTTCGGATTAATCCGGATTTTCTGACCTACCTTATCTACCGAGATTTCACGAGTTAACATTCGTCTCATTCCGGAATCCTGGTGACAATTTTATACTCCATTGGAGTATTTTTGATCTACTTTTTCTGGATTTTGCCCTACTTATTATATCTTGACAACAAGCAAATCAAAAAGTTCGACATGAACGGGTCTCGATCAACTAACCTAGACTATGGAAGCCAGGCACGCTAACCATTAGGCCAACGAGCTAGCGATATGAAAGAACAAAAGTATTATATATTTATACCGAGCGTCAATTCAAAATGATCCTTACTTTTGTCTCCACTTAAATACGACTCGTCAGTTGTATCCAGAATAGTAGAACGCCTATGGCGCTAGTGAATAACCAAGTCCCAGGTGAGTGGTTCGTATCCCTCCGTGATATACTATTTTTGTTTTATTAAATACGACAGAAAGGAGCAAGGTGTAGGTTGAAAACAAGACGTTAGTTTGTTTCAAAACAGTTTGGAAACATTAATCTCTGGAACATTATTTTTTCAACACTGATACAAATTTCCCTGACATGTCTACCGTTTCAAAATTCCCGGTCATCTTTGGCCCTTTTGACCTAATTTTAAAATTACCTGACATTTCCAGCACTTGGAAAATCAAGTCAATTTCCCTGACATTTCCAGGTGTGTATGAACCCTGGAAATATCCCACTGGCTCGCCCTATGAATCGCTAGCACAGATTGGATTGATTAGTGTTTCAAAATGGTGGACGAAGTGTTTGATTAGATAATTTACATATTAAGCTTCTTAAAGGGGCAACAAGGCCTGTACATAGAAAATTCGAAATTTTTTACATTTTCTGGGCAACATTTGGCTTTAACATCTTTTTTTATACATTTTTTCTTAAAATGTATGGATAAACAATAAAATTTCAGCATTAAGCATCAAAGCTTCTATAAAGGGAGTCCAACTTATAGATTTTGAAAATCCGACTCGTTTAAAGAAGAATATCAGCAGCTTAAATCACGCCTTGTGATCATACAAAATGGATGGAGGGGGGGTAGGCGATTTCTGCAAGAAAACTCAACAAATTTGGAAGATTTATTTTTTTCAAGATAAAATTTACAACTGAATTGCCAAATGAATAGGCGCAGTGCATGGCAAAATATGTAAGGTCTTCTAGTATTTTTTGAACTGATACGCTTCTAAGATATGAGATCTATTATAAGAGGCGCATCATCATCATCATCATCATCAACGTGCAAAAGTCAATGTTTTTGCTATAAATCAGGCAACAATGGTCTACACGACCTGTAATAAATAGGTATGAGGGGCGTTATTAGAGAATTTTCGTTATAAGTTTTTTAAAAACTTATACGTATACTTATACTTATAAACCCAATAAACAAGGTGTTTCATAATTTCCTAATTCGTCGGGAAATATCTCCTAGGACGGTAATAAAAAGGGCCAATTGCATACCATCCGTACCCCTTGATGTAAAGCATGTTTAGTTGTGTCAAATGTGTTTTCTAGAATCAAATAGGCTGATATAGCACACGGGTTTTACAGATTTATCTACTCTCAAATATATTTTTTGTAGATGATCGTTTTGAATCACCTTGTAGAAATAATGGGGAGATCATAATGGCAGGTGTACAAGATCCTTTAAACCTTGACTGTTCTCCAGAAAGCAATAAGCTGACATATATCATATTTTACATTTTAATACAACTGAAAAGATAATAAATGTTTTAATATAAAGTTAACGTAGTTATAAATCTTTTCAGCGTAAAATCAAAGCACAACCATATAATTAAAAACATTACGCTGGGATTCCAACTGGATACAACTGACGAGTTGTATTTAGGTGGCCTAAAGTGCTGCTTATTTTTTCGTGAAGCCACTCAGTAAAATTACGATTTCTCTCAACCCTGATGTTCAATCAACATCATTCGAGTATCTATATGTTTCTGACACGTTCGGGCATCCGGTTATGAAAACGTCTACCCAATGTTTGCACGGGAAATTGACGTAATTCATGACTGAAATCGGGAAGACAAAAATATGTGATATTCTTTCAGAATTGTTTATAATAACTATTTACAAAAACGTTCCCGAGACACAATCCATTTAGGTAGGGTTTGTTTTAAAGTCGAAAAGCCCCAATAAGACAATACAGACCCAGATTAAACCCAGAAGAATGCAGATTTCATGTAATGATTTACGTTCATGTAAACAAGGAAAGTACATATAATCCCCATATAAAACACTGGCCTACGTGACATGTAAACACAGGTTCAAATTGAAATATAGCAAATTTTCAACATAGCATTTGCTTCTGTGTTCTGTATGCCCCTCTACCTGCTAATAAGGCAATGTATCTTCAAATAAAACCTTAGCCAAGTAGATAAGGGTCTCTGGAACACTTTTGTAAATAGTTTTCACAAGCAATTTTATTCCCGGACGCCCAAACGTGTCAGGAACACATATATATTTGAATGATCTTGATTGGACATCAGGTTGCAGAGAAATCGTATTTTTACTGAGTGGATTATTGAATTTCATAGATCTAGAGGCCCTTCAGGAGTGGAAAACCTTAAATTATCAGAGATTAATGTTTCCAAACTGTTTTGAAACAAACTAACGTCTTGTTTTCAACCTACACCTTGCTCCTTTCTGTCGTATTTAATAAAACAAAAATAGTATATCACGGAGGGATACGAACCACTCACCTGGGACTTGGTTATTCACTAGCGCCATAGGCGTTCTACTATTCTGGATACAACTGACGAGTCGTATTTAAGTGGAGACAAAAGTAAGGATCATTTTGAATTGACGCTCGGTATAAATATATAATACTTTTGTTCTTTCATATCGCTAGCTCGTTGGCCTAATGGTTAGCGTGCCTGGCTTCCATAGTCTAGGTTAGTTGATCGAGACCCGTTCATGTCGAACTTTTTGATTTGCTTGTTGTCAAGATATAATAAGTAGGGCAAAATCCAGAAAAAGTAGATCAAAAATACTCCAATGGAGTATAAAATTGTCACCAGGATTCCGGAATGAGACGAATGTTAACTCGTGAAATCTCGGTAGATAAGGTAGGTCAGAAAATCCGGATTAATCCGAACAAGGTTCGGGAATTTCCGTCATAAGAAGTAGGTCAAAAATACTCCAATGGAGTATAAAATTGTCACCAGGATTCCGAAATACGACGAATCGAATCGGCAAACTTCGGTACAATAATGAAGTGCATAAAAATCGTGAAACAGGTGTCAGGGGCTTCCCCTCATCTTTCCATAAATGGTTCTAAAAGCCTTATATGGATCTATCATGTGACATTCAAAATGACGTTCCTATATGGTTCTATGGGCCTTATATGGATCTTTCGAACACGTGACCAAATCAAAATCAAAATCAAAATTTTACCTTGACCATTGGATGGGATTTCATAGAAAATATCAAAGAAAACATATTCTCGTGATCCTTAAATCACTTAAATTCGATCATTTTATCTTCACCCCTTGATGGAATTTTATGAAAGAAGTTATGAAAACACATCATCATGTAAGGGTTTTCACCTAAATTAGCTCGTTTTATCTTGACCCTTCAATTGAATTTCATTGAAAAATGTTTCATGAAAAATATCATGTTATGATTTGTATTTAAATAAGACCGTTTCATTTAAATACTTGCTGGATAATATTTCATAAAAAATGCACTTTAAAAATATTTCAGGATTTGCCTTAATTTATCAATGTAATGTAAGTATTAGATTGACTCTCAAATAGGGTTCTATTTTAACTTTTTTATTGAAATTAATACTAGGCAGGACTCACTCTCTAAATAGCTAATAAAAATTCAACCCTTGGATGTGATTTCGTTGAAAAAAAAATATGACAAGTCCAGAATCAAATGATTTGTCCAGAACCTCTTAAGATCCTGTTAATATGCATGATTTTTTGAAAGGGCCTGAACATGTCTATCAGATATCTAACAAACAATACATATAGATTATCTACTGGGGGGATTGAATATGGGTTTTATTCCGAGGGACAATATGATATTTACCGAAGGATATATGATATTGACCGAGGGAGCGCAGCGACCGAGTGTCAATATCATTTAGTCCAAGGTAAATATCATATTTTCCGAGGAATAAAACCCATATGTAATCCCGACCACAAATAATAATTCCTTAATACACCATTCTAAAATGCTACATTTGGATAATGCAAATAAGCGGGAAAAAATAACCGGGAAGCCGAAATAGGTTAATATGCTCCAATACGATTTTTTCCCGGGGACAATACGATTTTTTCATGTAATACGCTCCAATTTCGATTTTTCCAAGGGACATCACGATTTTTTCATGTAATGAGATTTTTATTCCTTCATATTTTCCTGAGAAAACAGTAGTAATATGGAATAAAACAATATCTCTATTGTTCTTGTAAAAAGATATTTGCCTCCCCTACCCAAGATTTTTCCAATCTTGGCTATTTTTGTAATTTTTTCCATCTAAATCTGCATGTAGTTTTCAAACTTTAGAATACATAAAAAATATTACACAATTATTAGAAGTATGTTCCCGGTTCAGACAAGTTTGTTTGTGCGTCATGTAATTCTTGGTGTTTGACTGGGTGGGACACTACTCGTAAACGGCTGTGGTGTGTACCTGTATGTGTGTGTACCTGTGCACACAGCGAGCTGTAAATGATTAAAATGATAACACCACATTTGAAATAGAGTCGCAATTTTTGTACATTCCGTAAATGATTGATTTCAGTCTCTGATTGGACGATAGTAATCAGATCGATGTGACAAATTGTTCTACATCCTAGCTAAATGCAATCGATGCAATTGCTTTTTGCCTTCCATCCACTGAACGAAACGAGAAAATCGTAGCACTTAGAATATGGTGTTTAAGTTACGTTTTAATGTCATTCAGCATCAGGCCAGTCATGTTAATACTACTGTTCAAGTTCTTGTTTAAGTTTAAGTATAAAGTCTGGTTAACTAGCATTGTTATGTTATTCCCTTTAGTCAACAACTTTTCCCAGTCATTTTTCAGTAACCAGTTTGTATTTTCAGACTTACGTCTAGTGTGCCATACATAATGTTTCTTTCTTTTAAAACATGTTATTCGGCAGGAATTTATTGCAGATAGGGCTCTCACTACAAGGCCATCTGTTGTCACACCGACTATGTTTCCAGGGTTATCAAATGGTTTTGTAGTGTTATTCCATTTGATCCCACTACCAATTAGTACCTCGTTGACCATTACTTGGTCATCAACAGCAATTTCAGTAAGTCCGACTGCTTCACACATGTCGTCCAAGAAACCCCAAAATGAAGCTGAAAAAAGTCCAATATGGAATCAGTTTGCATGAGGAGGTAAGATGATTCCTGATAAAGGAACATAAGTAAATGGCAAGAGTTTTAGGAATTCTAAAAATACAAAAAAAAAACATTTGGTATTAATAAATAATCATTGGGTTTTCCTGTTTTCTTTATTTTTTTCCTTTCTTTCATTCTTTTCTTCTTAAGTTGTTTCGTTCTTTCTTCCTCCTATACCCAATTTTCTCACCAACTATAACAACTTACTTAAACCAACTTACATGGTTAACTAAGAAATTAGGTGGAATGCCAAAATAGGTCAAATCTCGAGTTTTTTCTATTTCAAATTGATTTTCAATTACTCTTACATTTTTTTTAAATATTAGTGTCAAAAAGTAGGTCAACAAAACGTGTGACTTGTAAAAAAATATGTACAAGGTGTTCCATGAGTATAAATTCCCCCATAAACTCAAGTATTGCCATCCTGTCATGTTATATTTAGAGGTTATGTCACTATGACGTGAAATATGCCTGAGTTCTCCCAATATAGGCCGACCTTGGGAGGCTCTATATTTGGGCAAGAACGAAGGCATATTTCACGTCATAGTGACATAACTGATGTATTACATGCCTTTGTTCCCATGGTTACTTTGTATCAATGACGTGACGTCATGATATTATCATGGTTATTAAAGAAATCTAATATCAAAACGAGGTAAGCTGGCTATATCGGGGTAATCGGGCAATATCGGTGGATATAGCTCGCTAACTTTCCCATTGACTTCCATACAAATGCTTCGCTAGGTATGTAATACATCATTATATATATTGGAAAGTTACATAAGATTGCAAAGTTTCAGAATCCAGAAGTGTCCCTGAAAAAGATAAGCGTATCAAAGTATATGTGTATACGGGTTATAGCGAGGGGAATTTCTGGTCATTTCGAGGGCAATTTAAAGGAAAATTAAGTGTCTGTATTGCACATTTCTAGCAGTTGTCATCATGTCAGAGTTACAGTACGTCCAACAGTGTGTAACAATGCACAAAGATTTATAGATAGGATTTTTGCAGTGGCTCAATAATAGGGAGGCCGGTGTAAAAGGGTAGGAGGTCATTTGACACTTACCCGGCTAAAAGTTACGTTGTTTAGTCAAAAATAAGATTTGTTTCTGTATACCGATTTACATCAAAGTTGAAAGAACCCCTTGTTTTACTTAGGAATATAACTACACGTATTTGATTAATCTTTAAACTTACAGGGTGTCTCAAAAATGTACCCAAAAGTATTTCAAAAGCACAGATAAACCAATCAATATTTTCAGACATTTTTTGCATGGTCATGTAGCCAAAAGACGAACGTTTTTTCCAAATACACCATTTTTATTTCAGCCTTGTCTTTTTGATGCTTTAACCCTTTACTTTTTGCACCACATAATCGATGTAACCTCATCATTGCAATGACAGCCTGTATTCTTACTGCTACATTGTTCATCACATTTGATAATAATTCTGGTGGAATGTTTTTGATTTCTCTTTGGATGTTGCCCTTAAGTTGTTTTAGGTCTTTTTGCTTGGAATGAGCATTAAAACACTCCTTCAAATAGAGACAGAGGAAGATGTTTGAGGATGACAGAACAAACACAGATAATCAGGTCAATTGTGAGCAAATGACTCAGGAGTTTCCTTCCAGAGTTAGGCAGACTAGCCTGGAGACCAAGTAATATCCAAACACAGTGGTCTCAAATTGATATACACAACAAAAGCTACACTAGAATCCCAACCAATGCAGTTTCTTGAACCTCTGACCTCTCAGTATGAGGGGGCTATAAGACATTGCGAAGGCCTCCCTATTCACCATGTTTGATGGCCCATACTTTTTTCTCTGAGGCTATTTGAAGGACCATTTGTATGCTAAACCCAAGATAAGAGACCTAGAACAACTTCAGACTAGCATCTGAACAGAAGTCAAAACACATGAAAGATTCCATCAGAAATATCAAATGTAATGAACAATGTAGTAGCAAGGATGCAGACTTTCATCGGAATATGAGGTTACATTGAATATGTGGTGTAAAGGGTAACGGATTAAAGTATCAAAAAGGCAAAACTGAATTAAAAACTGTGTATAGGGGAAAAACTTTCATCTTTTATCTACAAGACCATGCAAAAAATGGTTGAAAATATTAATTGGTTTGTCTCTGCTGTTGATATACTTTTGGGTACATATTTTGAGACACCCTATACAGGGTGGTCCAAAAATGGAACACTCGTATTTCAAAAATAAATACTGATTTTCTCGTTGAAAACATGTCTTATTGTATACCAGTGGATAATAATTAGGAATGTCATAAGTTCAAATTTACTATAGTGTCTGTCAACCAGCGACCATAATATAAATTACATCATTTTCGTTTCAAAACGGGGTTTCCAAAAAACAACTTGCAAAAAACAGTTTTTTGTCAACTTTATTTACATAAACAGACGTTCAATATGTCCACCATTTCGATCAATAATAGCCCTCAAATTTGGCTTAAAATGGACAAAACCATCATTAATATGATGTTGGGACAGTGAAGACAATGAATTCCACTTCTCAACAATCCTGTCCTTAGGGACTAATGAGGTAAGGTGTTCTTGGTACACCAATTTTGTTAGTTATCCCAATACGTGTTAGTCACAGACGTTGGCATCGGATGATCCGATTATGTTATTTTTTGACCAACCTGATATGAGCTCATTCTCAATTTTTTTTTATATTTTCCAACAAGATGGGGCTCTAAGCAATATATCCCATATCAATGATGCTATTAACCAGTTTAGGCCAAAATTGAGGACTGCAATTGATCAAATTGGTGGACACATTGAACGTCTGTTGACAATAAGTTGACAATATAACTTCCGTTTTTGCAAGTTTTGGAAACCCGTTTTGAAATGAAAATGACGTCATTTATATTATGGACACTGGCTGATAGACATTACAATAGAATTGAACATATGATATACCAAATTAAAGATGAATAACTTTCCTATCCACTGGTATATGATATGACAGGTTTCCATCAAGAAAATCAAAATTAATTTTTGAAATACGAATGTCCCATTTTTTGGACCGCTTTGGAGTTCTACAAGCCGTTTTAGTTTTTTATAATTATTGAATCTATTTTCGCAGCATATACAAAATGCTGTTTGAATTCTCACCTTGACGATTTAGCTCCTTACGGAAAAGAACATTTCCTGTGTTTAAAGTAAAGCCCCATTCTATGTGGACGTTCTTCGGTGAATTGTTAGTTAAAGAGGCAACTATGCTTGCATGGGGATAATTTCTCTCAACATGACCTATGGGATCGTGTAGAACAAACGCATCTGTATCAAAGTTGAATACATCGTAGCCATAAGAGATCAAGAGTCGCCAAAGGATTAGTCTGTAAGTCCAAATCACGAGTTTTGGATTTTCCTGAAATTCTGTCGTGTTGGTGACAAAGAAAATTGTGTTTATGGACAATTTTGAAAGGATGGGACAAATTTTGATATCATCCGTTGCAACAATTAAATTATGAAGCTCCATTTTGGCAATAAACCTAGCCAGCAACCACCAGTTTAGAAGCTCTTCCAATCGTCCTGAATCTGCATAGAGAAGAATTATTGGCCCGTATTTTGAATTAACAAGTGTCAGGGCCTTTTCAATATTAACAATACTTTTTTCAAAATCTATGAACACTTTTGTTTTTGTATAACAAGGTAAGTTTGAGAAATTTTGTGAATTAATATATGCTTTGTTGTGTTCATTCCAATTCTTGGAATTGAAATATTGCACCAAAAATCCATTTTTGTTTGGCGATCCCTGGCTTAATTTTGAAATGTTACGAAGTGGTGGTAGCTGTTCTGTTATCTGTAATGTTCCATAACCCGTGCCATATTTCTTAAAATTATCATTATTCCAAGTTCTTTGATTATCAGTATCTCGTGTTTGACTGTTAATATGCTTTTTCATCATTTTTGTTGTTTGTCTGTCATATGTAATTCGTTTACGTACATGTACATACGTGGATAAGAAGAACTGTACCAATACTACTTGAATCAAGATACTTGCTATTATGTACGTTGCTATACTTGAAATATTTGATTTCATGATTTAAATTAAGCTTACTTATACACAAGTGCGAAGATTAACGGAGGCCTTTTTCAATTCGTTTTTGCATCAATTAAATTATTGATTATTTTATACCAACATATTGCTGGAATATTTTAGTTCATATATATTGTTTACACTGTATTGTACTAATTGAGCTATTGAAATAACTCATTTATCTGTGAATTTGTATGGTCATCTGTCTGTCAACAACACTGTTGTCAACAACAGGTTTTACAATCCATGACAATAGAAAGATGCGATTAGAAATCATCTTGATAACTATCAGATACAGAGGGTTGATAGGAAATCCGAAACACTAAAATTACTTAATATTCAAGTTTAAAGGCACTCTCTATATATTGTTGTGTTTATTATATATCTGCCCCAAATTAGCCACCTGGTGTTGAAATGGGGACCCACTCGCATCATGGCAAATTAAACCGGGGGAGCACACGGGACCCAGAAGAATCCAACATACTAGGAATACAATTCAGTTTCAGGGGCTAACCGACAATTCATTCCTTAGACAATTCATCCCCTGGACAACTCAACCCCTGCTGGACAACTCGTTCATCCTTAATCGCATGGGCCTAAATTGTAAAGTGTTTCTGGAATAGAAATATTAAATAAATACAACTCTACCCTGCATGCAGAGTCTAGTTAAACTACAAGACCGACGAAGCTCTCTTTTAAGTAGTGAAGTCAAACGAATGCTCGGATTTATTCAAAATAATTTTCACTTTATTGACACAAAATTGTGAGTGTACGTATTAAGTATCAGTCAAACGTCGACAGTTAAACGCT